GCGTAGTGTGGAGTTCAGGGTATAGTGTGGGGTTGGGTGTAGTGTAGCGTTGGGGGTAGTGTGGGGTTGGGTGTTATGGTACACTGTGATTCCAACACTTGGGAAGCTGAGGCAAGAGGATGGTCAGGAGTTCAAGGTCATCCTTGACTACATGACAAATTTAAGGCAAACCTGGTTTTGTGAGACCTGTCCCAAAACAAAATTAATTAGTTACTTAGTTAAAAGGGTTAGGCTGTAGCGTAGTTGGTAGGGAGCTAGAATACATGATATCATGCATAGATGCATCCGTTAATGTTAACGCCATGCTTCCGTTATCCTGACAATGATGGCCCACACCTGCCATTCCCGTGCTCCAGCGGTAGAGGCAGGAAGATAAGAATTTCAGGAGAAATGTCCTCTGGTCCCCTGGCCTATGGTAGCAGGAGCACCAGTGGCATCCAGGACACTATGTGGCCACCTGAAGGTTGGCTTACCGGGTAAAGTTTCATCCCCATGTCTGGGGCTACATGGTGTCTCCCTGACTCCGCCTACTCTCTCTATATATCTCTTTCAGTCTGGCTTTACTCAGTTAAACCATTGGCCAAAAGCAGCTTCTTTATTAACCAATGGCAATAAAACATATTCCCAGCATACATCACCTCCCACATCAGAGAATAACTGGCCATGTGTTAGTATAATATCATCCAAAGCATCCAAGTTCTCTCTTCCCTTCACCTCTAGGTGCTTTCAAATCTCTTGACAAAAATGGCACTGGGCAGATCCAAGTGAACATCCAGGAGGTAAGGCTGCCTCTCTTGTGGGTGGGTGCTCAGCTCCAATTCCAGCCCCTCCCATCCTATTGCCCTGCAGGCCCTGGGTGAGGTATCTGGTCCTCTGGGGCGCTCTGCTCACCTGTGCCTTCCCCTTCCAGTGGCTGCAGCTGACTATGTATTCCTGAATGGGGACCACTGACCTGCCCCTCACAGCTCACTCTGGAGCCACATTGAATCCTGATCCTGTCTGCAGCCACATTTTTACGGTCATGTCCTGCCACCCACAGGCCTTTCTTCTCCATGTCTGGTACCCAGCTTCCTAGTCAGCAGCCAGAGCCCAACATGCCCCAGCTTGCCATACTCTGAGTTACCCCTGGCTCGAAGACAAGCTAGTTTGCTCTCTCTGCTGAAGGGTCACCCCACCCCAGCACACCCATCCCACACCCTCTGTTCCCTTCATCACCTTCATCCTGTCTGTGGGCCAAGCCTAGCACTCCAGTTGCTTCCATGTCCCAAGGGTCCTGTCTGAGTTTTGGGAGGATCACTCCTGTCCCCACACACCCTATTACACACTCATTCAGTCACCTCCCAGGCAGCCAAATAAACTCCAGGCCATGGCAGGCCCACACACCCTAGTGCCAATGCCTGCACTGTTTCCACAGCTGTCAGGCCCAGGAGGAAATAAACTCTCTACCTGCTGCTTCCCATGGGCTCTGCCTCCTGAGTGTTGAGAGGCGGCTCAGAGTCCGGGGAGGAGGAACGATCTTATGGGGACCTTGAGTATTCATTTAGTTACTATATATTGTGTATGTGTTTAATGAGCATGTCCGTACGTGCACCATGTATCTGCCATCCCCTGGAACAGAGGTACAAAGGGTTGTGGGCACCAGGGGGTGCTGGGAACTGAACCCAGATCCTCTGCAATAGCAGCGAAGTATTGTCTCTCCAGCTCTGAGAGTGGTTGGGGTGCCTGTCTTTGGGGCTGGATCATGTATTTCCTACTCCACATCTTTTTTTTTTCTCGTACTGTTCTAAGTTGAGACAGCCTGGCTTTGCTGAGGCTTCGCCTGGGTCCCATGCAGGCTTGGGATGGGACTTGGAATCCCCAGTGATCCCCTTGAAGCTCCCAAAGCTTCCAAGCTGTTAAGAGATCCTGGGGATCCTTTGTATTTTGTCTGTTGGGGCCATGTTTGTAGCTCTCTGAACTTCTGTCTTTTGGGTCTTTTAATTGATTGCCTGATTGGTACAAAGGATGGCACCCAGGGCTTTGCACATGCTAGGCAAGTACTGTACCACACACACACGCGCACACACGCACACACACACACACACACACACACACACACACACACACACACGTAGATTCTATGCTCTTCCTCTCAGCCATATCACCATTGGGTTTCAGTCTTGGTGCCAGTCTTTATCCTCCCTTGGCTCAGATCATGCCATCTTCTCCTTTCTGAATCAGGGTCTCCATAATATATAGCCCTAGCTGTCCTGGAACTAGATCAGCACTTTTCCTACCCTTTGGGCCTCTACAAGGGGAGGGGGATGCCATTCTGGATAATAATACCTCTGTTCCACTCAGCATCACCACTCCAGGCTTTGGTCCCCCCAGCAGGCATCTAAAGCAGGTTGTTCTAAGTACCGCACTGGTCCAGCATGAGGAGCCGAGGGCTGGGACGAGTTGCTTTCCACTGGGTAGACATCCCTGGATGATGGGAAGGTGGGTTGGAATACACAGACACACAGGCCAGAGCCGATTGGGGTTCTCAAGAGGTTAGCATGTTTATTGATGTTTGTGCAAGTCCGCCAAGATTCTTGGTGTCACTTCTTGTGGGGGAAGGAGGCCCAGCCCAGGCAGTATAAGCAGTAAGCAGTGCCTAGGAAAGGGATGGATATCAAATGAGATCCTAATGCCCACGCATCCTCTCACAGGACCTGGAGAAGCCCCTTAGGTTCCCCCAGCCCCTCGTGGAGCACAGCTCCAGTTCAGCTCTAAACTTCCTCCCAAACTGGGCTCCTCATGGGGAGTGCCCACCCCACCTGTTTTGATATGAACCAGGCCAGGAGCTTATTTTGGGGTGGGTTGGGCAGATCCATCACTAGCTCTGATCCCTCAGGGCAATAGGTAATCCATTGTTCCCGTCCTCAGACCTTGTCAGCTCAGGACTCACCCTCTCCTGAAGCACTGACTGACTGGGATCCCGGCTAGTCCACAACCCAGGCAACCGGGTGGGCCCCACACTCACCCCCCAGCGTCAGGGTCATAGTCAGTCTGTATAGGATGTTGTCCATTGCCCCGCCCTTCAGGTGTACTGGGAGGTCGTTGTTGGCCTGCGTGAGAGGTGGGGGTGACAACAGGGTACTGGGTCCTGTACAGACCTCCATGTGCATGGCACCTCCACCTCACCATCGGTCCAGGGACATTGTCCTCCTACCTGGAAGAGTTTCTGCTTCTCTGCCACACGGTTTTCTAAGTGGCTCCGGGCAGATGAGCTGAAAGGACGAATCAAAGCCTGGGAGACCTGGAGGGATAGGAAATGGATGGGTTGGTGACCCCTGGAGAGCTGCCCTCATGTGGTCCAGCGGGAAGGGGTGTAGGGACTATGTCTGGTGAGTGTCTGTCTTAGAGGCAAGAGACCAGTCACCAGTGAGAGTGGGGAAGGAGTCGGTGGAGGCCTGTAATCCCAGCATTCAAGCAGGAAGATCAGTAGTTTGGGGCCAGCCTGGGCTACTCAGTAAGCATTTTAAAAATGAGGTTAAGGTGTTACATATGTTATCACACTTGGGAGGGGGGGCAAAAGGATTAGGAGTTCAAAGACTTATTCAGCTGTATATCAAGTTAGAAGCCAGCCTGGGCTATATGATGCCCAGTGTCCAAAAAAAAGGGGATGGGGTGGGGGTAAGGGTAGGGAATCCATGCCGAGAGAGTACAGTGTGGAGGTCAGCAGGCTGATTCCTGTGTTGGGAATGTGAAACGGGATTGAGGGAGGGGCTGGATCAATAGATTTGAGAAAATGGGGTTCCAGGGATGTCAAGACTGGCTTGGAAGTTCCCTGAGAGTTTCCAGGCTGCCCAAGACACCCGGAGTTGGTATTAGGGCTCCGAGGGATGTTAAGGGGGAACTCGGGTAAAGGGAGGTTTAAACCCAGGATTCTGGACCAGGTTAAAGGTACTGTCTTGGAAACTCAGGATGTCAGGGAGGGAGTCCCAGACTCCAAGGGGTGCATGTGTTCCAAGACTCCAGATCCTGGCATGTTTAAGGTAGGTATCTGGATTGTGGGGTTTCCCTCCACCCCGACACAGCCCGTGGGGGCCTCACCCGCAAGGCCCTCATTTCGCGCGTCCTCTGCTGCTCGAGTCACCTCTCTCAGCCCAAGGACGTGCAGCACTTTAGCCCTGAGGGAATCCCAAGACACGCCTGCTGCGCCGGGCTTGACAGTTGGGGGCGTGGTCAAATCAGATTTGTCCAATGAGCTCAGAGGAAAGGTGTTCCAACCTACCAGTCATCATCTGTTTCCGTGTTTAGGTTGATTACAACAGAATACTTTTTGGCAGAGATGGTGTCTCCAGGACGCACCATTCCCCGGCCTCCATCTAGGGCTACCCAGCTGGTATCTGGGAGCCAGTGAGGGCAGAGGTAAATTAACTCCTCGTTCTGTCTACAGAGTGAGTGATTACACCCGCACCTCGGAGCATTAGTTTCCATATTTGTTTCCTGAGAGCCAAGTCAGAATCTTCCTCAGTGTCCTGAGGAAATAGGGAGGCACCGAGATAAAATTATTTACACGGCCAGAATTGATTTAAGAAATAAAAAAAAAAAAAGACAAGCCGGGAGTGGTTGCTTAGTCCTTTAATTCCAGCGCTTGGGAGACAGAGGAAAGTGGATTTCTGCCGTTTTAAAGCAGAATGGTCTACACCGTGAGTTCCAGCCCGGCCAGGGCTGCATAGAGAGACTCTGTCAAACACACTGGGATGGGGCTGGAGAGATGGTTCAGCGGTTAGGAGCACTGGCTGCTCTTCCAGAGAACCCAGTTTCCGTTCCCAGCACCCAAACTACAGCTCACCGCTGTCTGCAGCTGCAGTTCCAGGGGCTCCGACACCCTGACAGAGACATCCATGTAGGCAAAACACCAATGCACATAAAACAAATTATAAAGAATAGCTGGGTGGTGGTGGCAGCACATACTAATACCAGCACTCGGGGTGGTGGTAGTGGGGAGCAGAGGCAGGCTAATCTCTGAGTTCAAGACCAACCTGGTCTAGAGAGTTCCAGGACAACCAGGGCTGTTACCCAGAGAAACCCTGCCCCCCCAAACAAAAACAACCTTAAAAACAAATAGAGACTTGCTAGAAACACAAGCGCAAACTGAGGGACAGAGGGGAGGGAAGAAAGAAGGGAAGAAGAGAGAGATCCCTTGGGAGAGAAGTGTGGTTCCTCTATAGCTGAAGTTAAGCTCCCTAGGCCTTTCGTGTGGGATTCAGCCTGGAGCGAGGTCAAGGGGCCAACCCAGTGTTTTGTCATTCTCTAAGACTGAGCCATTTGGGTGAGACACCAGGGGCCATTGGGAGTTAGGCTTAATTGTAGAACCAGATCATAGGTCACCAGGTCTAACTACTAGAGAATAGGTCATTTCACTTTAGATTTCTGGCCCTTTTGTGTCTGTAGTCAGAGGTTTATTGATGGAATGAAGTGAGCTCAGAGCATAATTCAGCTAGCCAGCCAGCTCTGTGGGCAAGCTACTCCCTGCTGAAGTCTACAAGGTTGTCCTCCCATCACCATCATATACACCGAAGCCTTGGCTACAGAAAGTTCCAGGCTGACGTGAGCTACCTGAAACATTGAAAAGGAAAAGGAGGAGAGAAGAAAGAAGAAACTAGTAATGTGATTTTGAGAAAATCAAACAGAAGCCACTGTTGCTAGTGGGTAAACTTTCTTGTGCAGGACCAATCCTAGCACCCAGCTCTTTCTGGGCAAGCGCTCTGCCCAGTCCACACCCTAGCACACACTGAAAAAACTGAAGCCGGACTCAAATATTTTTGCATTTAGTTCAGTTTCATCTGTGTGCAATCACACATACACAATACCATATGCATATCACACGTAATACCCCTCCCCCACAAATATGCACCATACACACACACATACCCACCCACAGAAATATGCACTAAACATACACACATGTATCCACCTATGCATGCATACACAGAATGGAAAAATAAAAGTGCTGAGTGGCAAGGGAATGTTTATCTAGAATCCACCAATTAGGAGCTTGGGGGTTTTGGCTCAGGGGTGATCGTGCAAAGCCTAGCTTGTGCAAAGCCCTGGGTTCTGTCTCTAGTGCTTCAGGGAAAATGTAGCATAAGAGCAATCCTAGGACTCAGGCTAAGACAGGATTTCATGTTGGAGGCAACCCTGGACTACACAGGACTGTGTCTCCTTCCTTTGACCCTGCAAAACGTCCTAAATGTGAGCCTTTTCCTTTCTCCCACGGCCTCTCTTAACTCATCACAATAGGCATGCAGGAAAAACATCCATGCATGTAAAGTTAAAAGTCAAAAAGCAAGCCAGAGCTACATAGTGAGACCCTGTCGCAAAAAACAACACACACACACACACACACACACACACACACACACACACACACACACACACGCAAAAGAACAAGCAAGCAAACGAACAAATTGCCGCTTGTGGTGGAAGTCTGCCCAAACCTGTTTGGTAGCACTCTTCTGCCATCTCGTGGCTGAATCAGTCAGCTGCTCTTAAACTTGAACCTCTCCATGTATTCTCTGATAAGTTAGGATATACTTTTTTAGCCTCACCCCACCCACACCTCTTTTGTCCCCAGACATGGCCTTGCCACATTGTTCTTTCCTGTCTGGAACTTGTGACCCTCATGTCTCAGCCTTCTGACTACTGCAGTTAGTGTCAGGTACCACCAAACCATGCTTACAATTGCCGATTTTAAATCAACGCATCCCACAGCACTTTAAGCTGCCTCATAAGTGCATACCAGTAAACCTTTTGGGAGGCTGAGTTCCAGGATAGCCAATATGCCCATGAATATTCCTGACTGAATGAAGGTACCAGATGAGTAACAGAAAATACATCTTTGGGCCTGCCTCCAGTTCCTAAAATTCTTTGAACCATCAGAGTGATTGGTAGTGTTCTTTATTTGCTAACGGGATGTTGGAGGTCCCCAGATAGATAGATAGATGGGGGCTGGTCACCAGAAAGACCAAGGCATGAGGAAAAGGTTGGACATCCATCCCTCCCAATATCCTTTTCTGTCCTGCCAGCCTGCTCCCAAATAACGATACAGAGACTTCTTTTTAATTATGAAAGATCGACCTATAGTTTAGGCTTGTTCCTAACTAGCTCTTATAAATTAAATTAACCCATGTATATTAATCTACATTCATTGATTCTACATTCATTATAAATTAAAGTAACCCATGTATATTAATCTACATTAATCTTCCATTTGCGCCTTCTGTGTCCTCTCTGTGTCTGTCTCCTGGCGTCTCCTGTGTGTCTAGCTTCCTCCTCTTCGCTCTTTCTCTCCCTGGAAATCCCACCCGTACCTCCTGTGTAGCTATTGGTCATTCAGCTCTGTATTACAACAATCACAGCAATACACCTCCACAGAGTGCACAGATTTCCCAGAACCCTCTAGTCAGTGTGAACTCGGTAGTGGTGGATGAGCTGGGAGCCCTGGATAAAGGCCTGCCCAGATCCTCTACATTCATAAGGTTTGATACCAGGGTGAATTCACTGATGCTCAGTCAGATGTGAACTGTGAATGAAAGCCATGCCACACTCCCTGCATATGTAGGGCTTCTCATAGGTGTGGAGCCTCTGGTGGTGAGTCAGCTGGGAAACACGAATGAAGGCTTTCCCACACTCCTTACATTCATAAGGCTTGTCACCTGTGTGAATTCTCTGATGCTGAATAAGGTATGAACTCCGACTAAAGGCCTTCCCACAGTCCTTCCACTCAAAGGGTCTGTCACCAGTGTGAACGGTCTGATGTCTCCTAAGCTGTGCCTGCTGTCTGAAGGTTTTCCCACATTCCTCACATTCACAAGGTTTTTCCCCAGAATGAATTCTTTGATGCCGAGTGACTTCTGAGCTATGGATAAAACCCTTCCCACAGTCCTGACATTTGTAGGGCTTCTCCCCAGTGTGGATTCGCTGGTGCACAGTGAGCTGTGAGTGCTGTCTGAAGGCTTTTCCACAGTCTCTACACTGAAAGGGCCTAGCCCCCGTGTGAGTTCTCCAGTGCACAGTCAGCTGGGAACCACGAATAAAAGCCTTCCCGCAGTCTTTACAAACGCAGGGTTTCTCATCCGTATGGGTTCTGTGATGCAGAATAAGCTGTGACTGCTGCCTAAAGGTCCTTCTACATTCTTTGCATTCATAGGGTTTGAGCCCAGTGTGAAGCCTCTGATGGAGGGTGAGGTCGGAAGTACAACCAAAGGCTTTCCCACACTCCCGACAGTCATAGGGCTTCTCACCCGTGTGGGTTCTCTGATGCTGAAGGAGGTGTGAGGCTCGCCCAAAAGCTTTCCCGCACTCCTTACACTCAAAAGGCTTTCCAGCAGCAGGAGTTTTCTGGTGCTGCATATGGGGTGGGGCCCGGCTAAATGCTTTCCCGCAGTTGCTGCATTCGATGGATGTGCCAGGCTTGAAAGCAGGCAGGCTCCCATAGGGGATTTCCACTGGCTTGAGATGGCACTCCTGACTCGATGGCCGTCTCTCAAACTGGTCTCTGTGTGCCCAGTAGCCCGTGCCATGGGAGTCCTCAAGGCCACAGCGCTGAAAGCTTTTCACTTCCTCCTTTTTAAATGACTCTATTTCCAAAAGTCCTTGCTGTGGAATTCCATCACCCCTTGATGCCACGCCTGGAAACCAGAGAAAAACAGCGACAAACTGTTCTCACCATGAGGAATGAGAACATCACAGAATATATGGAGATAGAATGAAAATTTTCACCATAAAAAATTTGACTATGTCTCAAATACTGAGCAGTTTTTTTGAGGTCACAAATATGGTAGAAGTGCACATGCTGCCGGACTGGGGCAAGGAAAGCCTGAGGGTCCCAATCCTGAAGTTGACCAGAGTCACCCAGCAAATGCATTACCAATACACAAGCCCCAGTGTCCTCCTGGCATGTGCGCATGTATGTGAGCAAAGCAGAAACGTCTGGAAATGAGGAGGAAGAGTGAACAGACATACTAACATATGCATGAGAATTAAGTCCCTTATTCAAAGTTGAAGGACCTCAGGGCAGAGGGCTCAGCAAGATGCTTGCCACCAAGCCTGCCAACCTGACTTGATCTCCAAGGTCCACATGGTGGCAGGAAATAACTGATACCTGCAAGTTGACTTTTGACTTCTACATGTGAATGAACACACACACTAAATAAGTGTAACAATTATTTTTTTAAGAAGCTCTTTACATCTAGGGATGGATGGGCATCTTTTGGGACAGTTGGCATAAGACCTGGAGCAAGAGAAAGTTCTACCATGA